CTGCTGCTTATAAATGAACAGTGGCTGAGTAGGCCGATGTACACATGTGGGGAGCTGGACCATTGTGTTCTGTCCTTTTAATTACAGTTTTTAAATGTCTCATGTAGTTAACTGTTGCTCTATGATTGAGCTAACTATCCATTATGTTATTTGTATGCAAATTATTATCATTATTACGCATACATGCACTATTTACTTTTTCATAACACTGCTCAGATTTTTTTTTACATTTATAACAATTTCCATAATCATTTAAGTATACTTATGTATTCATATGTATACTTAAAAAATATAAATTATATTTACTACTGCAATATACTGTATGGCTGACTACCTAAATATTTATCTTACTATTTTGTAAAGTTGAGTTGTTAATGTAGTAATCGTTTTAATATTTTATTATGGTATTTGTATGCAAATGTTATTATTATTATTATTATTATTATCATACACATGTACTTTAGGCTATTTCAAGAATGTAAAATAACTGTTCACATAATTATTACTCATCACTATCTGCATTTCTTAGTACTGTTTTTCTATATTAAAATTATTGCTGCTGTAATGTATGACAGCCTACTTTAATATAATAATCATTCTTCTTGAGTTGGCTATGAGGCAAAAAAAATCAAATTCTGGTAATAATGTTTGCACTGTTATATGACAATAAAATTAATCATGTTGTTTTTGTTGTTGTGCTTAGTGCTCTTTCCCTCCTTTCTCTCCCACGTGTATAAGAAAAGATTCACGTTTAAAACCGATTAAATGCTGTCGGGAATAAATAAAGAAGTACATTCAGCCTCCACTGCATCACTGCAGCAGGAGGTTGTAACTTAAATCTAATAAAACTTTCTCCATTTAGTTTGCCTGCCTTTATGGGAAAGAGGAAGAGTAGGCGGCATGTGCCATTACCTCCTGTACCAAAACAACAAACATCATGAGCCTGACATATTTAGCCCAATGACGCCCTTCCTCCCAGATCACAAGAAACTGTGGACACGTATCAGTGCATCTTACTGGCTGCTATTACGTCAGCAGATGTAACTGTAAGTGTCCGTATGTAGGGAGCAATGTCTTATTTGCCTTAGATAATTGGTGTAAATAAGCTCATGCGTAAGAAACAGTTAAAGTGATTACACGTGGTGGTAACAAATGAGTAAATGAGACGTGCAGTACCAGTGATGAGGATCATCTCCATTGTTTCCCTCGATACATTTGCTGTGTTTATCAGTTTCCTGTGCTGCATTATCACTATAGAGATCTATTACACTGCTCTGACACAGCAGTGGACTGGTTGGCAGGGAGCAGCTCAGCAGGCTGAAGCTCAAAATTAAGAAACGGGAAATAGGAAGGAATAACTCAGGAATAGCCAAAGAAACAGAGTTTTGATTTTGTATGTCTGACCACATGAAAACCAAAATGAAAAGAAACTCAAAATATTATATGGTGACCTATGATGAGTTTATGTCACATATTATGTATAATGAGCAAAGTCGTCTTATTTTGGCATAGTATTTGTAAAAACAAACATTACATACAGTCAGCACACATGGGGTTCCATATAATCAGTTTTCTGTTGAAATGAAATAAGAAATAATGTAACTGGCTATGAAGTGTCCAGTGTTTGTGTGTCCCGTCCGTCTTTGTGAGAACAGAGTCCGTGTGTTTTGGAATAACATCAGGTATATTTATCGCTAGTCTTCGATGACTCAGTGCTCTCACTGGGGACAGAGGGATCGTGGGAAGGCAAACGTAGGGCCTTCCGCTGGTTGTTGTTCCTGATGCCTCTGCCTGGTCTAGTCCCCTCTGATAGCGTCTGACGGTAAACAAGAGAGGAAGCTGGAGGAAATGATGTCGACGAGCTGCTGTTTTGATGGACAGTGTTTACCTGCGCTGTGTGAGAGCGCACATGCATGCCTGTCTGACTGTGTTTATGCGTAATATGGGTGTAATTTGTGTTTTACTATGCTCTTGAGGACCGGCTGGTCTAATAAGAACAAAACGCATTCGGCCTTTGTCACAAACAACAGCTATGCTCACTGTGGTCGGTTTAGAACACACAAAAAAGAAAATATGGAAGATATTGCAGAAGAATATGTGACATCACTCAGAAGATTTGTGTTTACTTCTCACTAACATGTTTGTTGGGCACTGGGGCCAGAGAAGTCACATTTGTGCAGCAAGGAGGAGCCTTGGTGGAGGAATTGTTATATAATTTGCTGCACTGAACTTTTATCAAACCACATAGTACCACAGTGAGGATCAAAAATAGCTGGTGCTGGAAGCCTGGTGATTAGTGAATACTTGCAGGGTTGTGTCTTTATAAAAAGTGAAGGGTGGAGAGAATGTTAACAGAGCAGCAGAAGCTCCAGGGCTTCATTTACAACAGTTGCATACGCACAAAACCGGTTCTGGAATTATAGTGCACTACTTGTTTTGCAAAAGTGGGAATCTATAAAAACGTGGGAATCTATAAAAACGTGGGAATCTATATAAATGTGCACAAGTATACACATTCTCTCTTTGTCTATTTATAATTGTGAAAAATGATCCCCTTGTTAAAAATGTTGTATTGGTGTTTCTGTTTATGTCACAGACATTTGAGCACATTTCAATGTTGTTGATCTGCAGTTAGTTGTGAAAGGACAATGAACAAGCCTCGTCCTACTCATATGGATCAGACAGTTATTACGTTACATTCTCTGTTACTACACTGTCTGGGTAGATGGAAACAAAGTGTCGCTCTTCTCTTCCCGCTGCCAAGATGAATCAGTTTGATGATAAACCTCCTGGAGTGATGACAGAATTCGTCCCTCCTCATAGTTTGTAAACTGTCCACTGTAGTGCAGAGCCATCGATTAAACACAGTAACAGCCTCTGACAGAAGCTGCTCAGTTTCTATCCAGCTCCAACGATAAACTTATTTTACCCATGAGTGTAATCAATGAAAGTCTGGGTCACATGTCGAGCTAATGGAAAAGTGCAAAACAGATTTCTCAGTGGATACAGTCTTCCACTTCTCCCTGACATTTAGTTACCTCTTCTTGTTTCATCCATGTCTTTCAAAGAAAAAGCGTGCACATGTATGTTGTTTGATAGTAGTCTGTATATGTGTGTGTGTGTGTGTGTGTGTGCGTGCATGTGTGAATGAAAACACAATACACATGGTCTTCCTGTCGAATCCACGGAAAAGCAAACACAGGAGCCGTGTGAATGTTTACCTGTACGTGGAGGAGGTTTGTGTGTGGAGCAGACTGAGCAGATAAATGACTGGTCCTGTGAGACTTTCTATTATGTGTGCCTGTGTCTTTATGCAAGCAACTGTCAAATGTGTTGTGCATCTTTATCGTCTAAAGGAGGGACTTCACCTGTGTAACAAACATGGGACAGAATTGGTGAACAGCACTGATTGTATAAAAAGATGGGATGAAGCGCCGCCACTTCTTCCCACGATCCAGAAATTAAGCCAAAATATCTTGGATACGATGGTGATCGGTGGACGGAGCCACAGTAAGAAGGTTCCGCCAAAGGTTTGTGCTCGACTAGTCGCTAATCAGTCTCTGCTGGGCTTTCACCCAGTTATTACATAATCAAATAACTGATTAAAAGCAATGTTACCAGAAAAATATACAGTTGAACAAACATCAATGTGATAAAAATAAAATGAGAAAAAGCATATCTGAGAAAAATGTATTAGACATGCACTTTGATTTATTAGTTCCATGTCCCATCAAATAACATGGAGGAGGCAGGATTTAGGAACTACACTGCAGCAGTTTCTAGGTGGCGATCCAGCAGCTATAAAGCATGAAGAATCTTGAAGGATGGAGTTCAAGATGAGCCGACCTCTCCACAGAAAAGTTTGTTGCAGGCATTAACACAAAGGTTATATGTTGAACAACAGGGAGCGACTGATTCAGGGAGGAGATGATGTTAGTGGCACCAGAACAATTTGGCATGTAGAAAATAAACATTCACTCTTCAATTAGCCAAAGAGCCATATATTCCCCTGGGGAGATGGTGGAGACCAAAACTGAGCTGCTAGGCCACTGTGATGCAATCAGTCTTCAAATGCAGCCTCTGAATTGAGACGCAGCTTTAGATGAAATTATGAAAGGAGTCGAGAGAGCATTAGACAACAATCTAAAACAAACAAAAACACATGTCAGGTTTGCAATATTTTTTCTGTTTGGATGGGTACGTTGCAGCTTGGATAACACGTGTTTAGCTGCATCAGTGAGAAGCGAGGGAAGACAGAGGAGAGAGTCAGCCGTAAGCTTCTCATGCTGGCTGGATGTCATGTTCCTTTTTTGTATTTCACATGATGAAGTTCTCGGCTCTGACACCGTGTGGGCTAATGAATGGACAGTATGCTCAGTCAGGGATCTGCGAGGCTTTCAACGCTCCATCTATTTCTCCCTCCACATGGGGTGTGTGGTACTTAACTGATCGACTCTAAACAAACAGCGGGGGGGGCGGAGGAAAGGAGACAAAAAGAAGGAAGGAAAAAGTGAAAAAACAAGATCAGAAATGATAATACAATATAGAATACAGAATGTATTCTATATATATATAGGAGATCAGAGGGAATATATATATAAGAGATCAGAGGGAAGAGGACAGAGTATGAGGGACAATACAAGACAGGACAGCAGAGGAAAATTTGCATGACAGGTTATGAGTGACAGGAAATGATTAAGATGAAGAGGTAAACAGCAGACAGAAAGGGGTAGAACGGAGAAATGAAAAATAAAGGAATAATAACTATAGAGGTGAAGATAAATACAGAATTCAAAAAGACTTTAAAAGGAGAGAGAAGAGAGGAGAGAGAAAGGAGAAAAAAAGAGCAGAGGAAAGGAGGCCAGAGGAGGGAGGCAAGAAAGATAAGGAAAGAAACTTTGAGCTCAGAGGCGAGGTTCGATTTTCTCTCTTTATTTCTTTAATGATTATTAATTACAATATGAGGTTTTTTTTAATACAAGAAATAACAATACTTCCATACATCAATAATACATACCAACAATCAATGATTAAACTTGTATATCATATGTGATAATTATAATAGGCTATATTATATTGAGCCGTTTGGACTTCAATGTACAGTTGAATGCCATTCGTGAAAAAGGGGGTAATGCAGTTTCAGCCAGCAGGTGTCACTGCAGAGCGGGTGAGTGATAATTGACTTCAGATAATGAAACTAAACAAGGAAGAAAAACTAACTTGTATGAAAATGAAGATAAGCACAAAAATAAAGTTTAAAAGTTCCGAGTGAATTAATAAGAAGACATGTGAGATATCTAACAACAGGCTGCATCCAGTGCGAGTGAACTAACGACTACACTTCCCAGAATGCATTGAGCGGAGTTAAAGTGACGCTGGACACGTGTGGCTCTGCACGGACGCTGCTCCTACTGTAGGCTGGAAATTAAGAACTTTGCACTCGCTGTTGCGCAATAATCGAGTTTAGATCGATCGCTGTGGATCGATCGGTGTCTATGAGCGACCTGCGCAGCGAGAGGAGCCACGATCCCCCCGGAGCTCGTCGCACCGCGCCGCTGGACTGCTGCGGAGGACTGGATAACGTGGATTACTCCAAGGTAAACAAACACCGAGCGCCTCCAGCAGCTGACCCGAGTCCGACTGTCACACACGAGAATGTCCGAGTCCTCAGAGGCTGCAGATCCAGGTCTGACCGAGGGATCAGCTCCTCTCTTCCTCCTCCACCGAGCTCCTCTTCCGGATCGCAGCCGGTGGAGGCTCCATGTTCTCCACAATAAAAGCACTATATTGTTAATCCTGCTAATTCAAGGCACACACATGTATTTACTGGGATAGAATGCAGCTTCACTTAAATACAGTGTAGAAGTTACTTTTTAAAATCTAAATATGTCTTGATGTCCTAATCAGATAAAATATTTAAGGTTTTCCAAAATAAAAGCACAATTTGTTAACCCTGCTAATTCAAAGCACACACATGTATTTACTGTGTGTGCGTGTGTGTGTGCGTGTGTGTGTGTGTGCCTTAGTAAAATAGATTAAAATGAATGAAAAAAATGGTGTTTGTGTTTTCCAAAATAAAACCACATTTGCTAATTCTCTTTTTCTCTCTCTCTCTCTCTCTCTCTCTCTCTCTCTCTCTATATATATATATATATATTTATGTTTCCTTTTTACCCATTTGAATACCAAATGATACCATACCATACACAACAACATACAACATATGTGCCTAATGTACTACACATATTTAAAACCATTTTATTTATGAACATGTTCTTTTGAATGCATAAACAAGGCTGTAGCTATTTGTTGATTAATCATGTATGTCATTAGAACAGATCAGATGTGCAACCAATTGTCCAAAATCCAAATTTAGTCACTTAACTGTCATATATGACAAAGAAAAGAAAATATTTGGAACAGCATACAGTTATTTGGTTTACATCAATTAAATGACAAGTACTTGAGTTTCACTCATGTATTTAAAGGAAATTTAAAGCAAACCTGTTAATGTTGTCATTTGTTATTGACAAAAAAATAAAAATAATAAACTAACAAAAAACTAAACTCATTATTTGTGGCTGATTGGTGTATTCACATTATCCATCCGTCCCTTTCTCATGAACACAATATCTCAATTTGAGGGAATTTCATCACATCTGGGACAAACATCCACGAGATTCAAGGATGAACTGATTAGAGTTTAAAGGTCAATGTGATATCACAAAACATGTTTTTTGCCATAAGTTAATTATTTACAATTATAACACAACTAGCACCAAAGAATGAAAGGATAAAATGAACAAGTGATGACAATTTGTATCCAAAAAGGTAACAGGTCCGCTTCACTGTGACATCATAATTTCTATACAAAAACACGTTCCTTACAATTATTTAACGCCATGACTCAGGAAAGGTCAAGCTACTTACTCAAGGTGAGAGCACTCAAAATCAAGTGGCCTGTATCACTTAAAAAAAAGACCTCACCCTTAAACCCTTAGATAATTTGCCTTTACAGTTGTTGTACATGTTGTGTAATACCTGCCACTTACTGTACTTATAAACACAGACCGGTTGATGTAGGATTTGAGCCATAAAGTTCACTGTGGTTAAGTCATCAATGGCCTCCCTATCTCCAGAGATACACTATCATCATCATTTTGTGCAGTTGAGCAGTAAAAACCTGCTCTAGAATAATAACAATTAATAATAGTAGCCCTCTAAGTTTGCTCATCCACTACCCACAAATGTCAACATGTATGTTTGATCCAACATATCTAATGAAGAGTATTTGCTTCTAAATGAACAACCATCCCTTTTTGCAAAACACCATATTCTGTTGTTTCTACTTGTTTATCAGAGTCAACTGAAACAGATACAAATCACTCCGAAGCCGTATATCCCCTCTGGGCTCAACAGTTTCATATATAACACCCAATGCAAACAGAGGCCCCCTGTGTAAGAGACACTTAGTTCCTCTTCATCTCTGGCGTCAGTGGGTAGAAGCTGAAGTGTGAGCACTCGCGCAATCGTGTGCTTATATGTCTGTAACATTGTTACCCTCCATGCAGATAGTCAGACCGTATCATTTCAGCTGAAGTTGTGGCAATACAAAACGATACAATTATTTTTCTCATGAAAGAACTTGACTCTTCAGTCTGTGTATCTGTCGCTCTGAATCTGTTGCATGTGAGAGTGACCATCGTGCATGCGTGCCCCATTACCTCCATGTATTGAATTCATTCTGTGGGAAAATGCTGAACATACAAACATCTGTGTGTGGTATATGGGAATTGTTTTATTCTTGCTTCACAATTTCAAGTTTCTAATGTTGCCTATCTAAAAATGATGATTTTATTAGAATCAAACACAAATGATTTGTTGGCTTTTTGATTGACCACCTAAAACTTCACCCCAAGTCAAAAACACACTGATAAAATTGAAGCAAATATTATTTATGACTAAAACCATGTAAGCATCCTAAAAAACAAGAAAACACAGATTCTGTTACTGGATCTCTTGAATTACAGTGTGGGGATACAATTATTATTGAAGATGGTATTACAGCCAATCATCTGTCTTTTTAATGGAACAATGCTTTTATATGCATTTTTGTCACCTTCCACATGCTCTGTTCTCTCAGATGGACTTGACGCTGATGGAAGAACTCCTTAAGAACATTGCCTTTTGTGACTCCAGCTTTTGTATCGCCATAATTGCCATCATTTTCAACCCTCTCTTCTGGAATGTGGTAAGAACCCCAGTGAATCATTTCGTAGATATTAAAGCTCCATAACCAATCATGCACTGCCTCTTATATACTTGATCTCACGATTGGCAGATTATTTGAGAATTAAAGAAAAGGTACAGGTAATTGGACTTTACTTGGTTACAAACAAAAAAGAATTGCAGCTTAAAAGCAGTTTTATTTCATCTATTGACTCTATTTCTCTTGACTTGTGTGAGCTTGTTGATAATGCTTACTGTGACTATGCAGTATTTTTAAATCCAATCAAGAACTTTCTCAGAGGGGCATAAACAAAAGCAGCTGCTATTGTTATGGTACGAGTAAACACCAGGAACCAATCATTAGGGATTGATCACTAAATATTTTGTTGAAGAAAAAATGACTCATAGATCTTAAGCAGCTTTAACCCTGGCCTCCCAGCATAACACAAATTTGACACTTTGTGGGAGGCCAGTGAGGAATCATGATGTTTGGTGTGCTTGGACACTTGCATGTGAACCGGGAAGGTTCATGGAGAAATTGTGAACTTCCACCTGAATTATTTCATTACACTGAAGTCAGGACTTCGACTGAAGTTTGCCTTTCACACAACGCAGCAGGTGATTCTCTGCTCAAAGTCGTTAATGACACATCTACGAGTGTACAGGTGAGGGATGGCACAGCGTGCAGGAGGCAGGAAGTGACATATTAATTCCACTGCGGAAATCACGTGTTTTTGTTTACAGCATATTAACACTGGCTGAAGCACTTATCACCAAAAGCTCTCAAATTTAAGTCAGCATGTTTGTCTTACACATGTATGGCTTCTCTTTTTGATCCTGTTTTGCATTCGTCATGTGTTAGAAATGTGATCATCCCGTCCACTCGTTTATAATAACCTCCGGATAATCTCCTGCTATATTATCACATGGTCTCACTCGGACATTCTCCACAGGTTTTTCTAACTCTGAAGGATGTCCAGAATTTCTCACATTGGGACATTTGTTTTAACCTCCTGAAGACACTTGGTCTCAGGCCTCCTCAGTTAAGGAGCCCATGAAAACTTGATTGTTGGCTCTGTTCAAAGATAGGCTGACACTGATTGTTGGTCTGTCTTTATCAAATCAAGACGGTGACTCTGAGCTTGATAAAACAGCCCCTCTATATCACAGTGTTACGCTTCCCGGACAAGATGACATACGTACGTTTCATGATTTAATCTGCGATATTTTGAAATGTCTATCATCATCAGGGCATCAAGACTGATTGCAGTCAACTGATACCATGGCCACACATCACATAATCTTGCATCTCTTAGATCATAATAGTGTTTAGTTCTAGTTGTGTTGACTTGTTTATATAAGATATAATATTCCATTCATATTCCTGTTTACATGCTCCAGAGTCTGATTATGACTTAATACATCCCGTGTCCCCTTCTGACCCTACTGCTATAAAAATAAAAATACTGCTATTGTGATGTTTGCGCCCATCCAAATACTTCATTATGGTGTCTGCATCACCCCAAAAGTATTACTTCTTTGTAGCACCATCTTGTTTACATTCATATTTACGGCATGTTTCATCAAACAGTTAGTAAGTGCCGGATGTTGATGTTGCAAAATTCTATGAAATCTCCAATAGGAAGTTATATGGTGACAAAAACATATCCATGTCTACTTAATGTCGAAATAGGTCGAAATACTAAATTATTATTCCAATACTACTTATTCTGAGTATGACCCTATTCAGGTTAAGGTATTCAGGAAATGCTGTTGACATTTTCTTCTTAATTTTTATTTATATAGCACTTTAAAATAAAAAACAGATTAAAAGAAAAATAGAAATAACTGAAACAAATAGAAACACAGTCATTAAAGAATAGAGATACTAAATGTGTGAGAAAAATGTATTACAATAATAAATACTAGAATTAGGTAAAGGGAATGTCAAAAAATAGAAGTTTATTAGCTACTGACTCAGTAATAGTGGTCATATAGAAAATACCCCTCTCAGCCTGTGTTCCTCACCCACATGTTATGTGTGTTTATATATAGATAAACATACTTTTAAAAAGATATAGTGAGTTGATAATCATGTCCTCCATCACTTATTTTGTTGTGAAGTGTAGTTGTTGATGGATCTCCCGTCAGTTCATGAACTACACTGGCCTCGATCTACTCGCTGCTTTCCACATTAGTTTCACTGCTCTCGACAGGTGACCCATGACTCCATTGCACCTCAGCTGGACACATGTTCATCAGACAGATGCTCTCTCGTCACAGAGGAGAAGCCAAACAGTTTGAAGTTAATGTTGCTGAGGTGTTCTTGTTCCTGCACGTGATCCCAAATGACCCTTTTTGTGCAATGTGCTGGAAGATAAGCTGTAAGTGGCTGTAATGTGGGTTATTTAGGTATACACTGTTAGGACTGATGGAACTTAGTGAGACATGCATTAAGAGATCTTTTCATTTTGTCTGTTCCAGTCACGGCCTTTATTCTTGCGAGCATTATCTGGGATGATGATTAATTTGATTTTATCTGACTTTTATCTCTTTAAGGGAGAGGGCTGAGAGAGACACGGGATGGATGTCTTAATGTTAAATCTGCCTCGTATCCCAAGGATCACTCAAGTTTCTGGTCGAATGTCTGTCACATGTGATGGCTAACAAATTTGAGAAAAATATATATCAAATTAGGGCGCCAACTTGTCCCTTCGTTCCCAGAAGTCTGGTCCGAAGAACATCTCTGATGACATTTTGATGAAAAGTACGTCATTCGACGCAGGTCACGCTGTTGCCTCGTTTCAGGGGCATCAGTGTGCTGCATGTGCTGTGCCAGTACTGTACCCCTGATAGCACTGAAGGTTTATCATACACACTAAGTTATATTCACTCTCCATCTCATCTTATTTTGGTCTTCATGAGAGGCTGAAATACATGTCTGCTATTCAGCACTAGATGGTTCATGTTAAACCAATAGTGTTCAGTGTTAAAGATCAGTTGTGGAACAATTCTTTCATTGAAATGTCTGAAAACATGATTTATGTTATGTCTTTTGTTGACTTATGTACTTATCCAAAATGTTTCCAACAGTGTTTAAACCCAGCGAAAGATCCAGGAGCGGATCTAGAAATCTTCTAAATCAGGGACCATAAAGGAGGGACCAATTATATGTGAAACATCCATGCACAATTCCTTAGTGGTTACATATTGTAGGATACTAAAACTTGCATTAAATTCATTTTTTGAGGTCATTTTGCAGCTGTAAAAACAAGCTACAAACACAAAACGGATTTATTATCATCTTTTACAGTGAACGTTACTCCTTCAGTTGCTTTATTTCCATTTTTACATAACCATGATTTATTGTAGTTGTTCAAAAAAATAACATTTGTATATAAATAATTAAGCATAGGAAGTGTTGTGGGTATTTCTTCCCCTATTTTTCTTAGTTTAGCCCAAACTATTATATCAGTCAGTAAGAAAAATATGAAAGACAGTACATTCATTGAAACTTTTACATCCACACATCCTCAAGGCTGCCTGCCCATAGCTTTTTGGATAAGGCCTCATCTTGCATTTCTACATCATTGATTAGTATCTGGAGCTGCCAAATTGTTTTCCACCTACACTCTTCCCTGATCTAATCCAAGACCGGTGGGTGGAGCAGGAAGCTTTTTTTCCTCGATAAGTTGCAGTGTGAGGGGCACGCTGACCTGCTGCTCCAAAATGAACCAAATAGTTAATATTGACGCAAATTGTAGATGCATTAGGGTTCAAGATGGTGCCTGTGTTTGACTTTGTTACTGCTCACTTATCTAACTTTGTCTTACTTGTCCTTGAAATGTTCCCTGGTTAACTTTGCATCTAGTTTTATTCATGTCAAAGTCTTTTAATCTTATTCAACATGTAACAAGCCCTACACATATGAGAGATAGTTGTCTAAGGTCTCATTTATGCTCAACTTTGGATACATATGCGTTCTTTCTCATTCATTTTTAATATTTAATAAATGGGGTGATGCAGGATGAAAAATAATCTACCTCCGTTTTTAGTCATATTCCTGTGGCCTCATTTGCATATCAGGCAACCTCACATCATGTCCTGACCTCAAGGTTGGGAAGGACGACCTTGTGACATATGAGGAGTCAGCAAAAGGGCAGCAGTTACAAAGAGATTCTGTGAATGCTTGAACCTTTTTCTGGGGAGACTGGCTTTTGATAAAGATTGTGATTTTCAACCAAGGTAAAAGTGTGTGCCTGCACTTGGTTTAACCTGTCAAAGAAAAAACAAATCTCAGCTGGTAACATTGAGAAAGCTTTTATTTTATTAGCCAGCTTTACCTAAAAAGGCTCAGATGTCAGTGACCTGGTCAAGATAAAGTCTCCCATTCAATACTCACCTCACTGTGTGTGCTTGAACACTATCAAGGATAAGAGGAAATACTCCTCACCTGCATTTGCACTAAACAGAGTCTTCACTGGAACAGAGACACATCAAGGCCTGTTCTTGAAATCTGGTGTGTGTGTGTGTGTGGGTGTGGGTGTGAACAGAGATCAGAATATACCAGCCTCCAGCTACCTCTGCATAGCAGAGCTACCATAGGCTGACTGTTTCCAATTTGTGAGCACCATTCCCAGGGTCATTGTGTCACAGCCTCATTGGCACTCTGACCCGCTGGTGCTGCTCAGGCTGTATTTTTAGTCTGGAGATGTCTGTGGCTCGAGCAGTGCCCACTTCTATCACTTATTTCCTTTAAACAAATGATTACCAACTTTTATCATCTTAAAAGTATATCTTCTGATGCATCACATCATTTGATGTTTTCCTCAGGCATAGCTTAATCCAACATCTACTGTGTGTGTGTGTGTGTGTGTGTGTGTGTGTGTGTGTGTGCGTGTGCGTGCGCCCACACAGTGACTCATTTCTGAAAAGAGTTTCTGAAAACGTCTGGAAAGTGCAGATGCACTTTGTCAAATGAAGCACAGCGCTCTCTTAAGACTCAGATCCAGACACTTGCAG